CCCCCGGTTCATTGGGCCTTTTGAGGTGCTTCAGAGGATAGGAGATGTGGCTTATAAGCTTGCCTTGCCACCCAGCTTGTCGAGTGTGCATCCAGTGTTTCATGTTTCCATGCTCCGGAAGTATATTGGAGATTCGTCCTATGTTTTGGATTTCAGTACGGTTCAGTTGGAGGGTGATATGACTTATGATATGGAGCCGGTGGCTATTTTGGATCGACAGGTTCAAAGGTTAAGGTCAAAGGATATAGCTTCAGTGAAGGTGCAATGGAGAGGTCAGCCTGTGGAGGAGGCCACCTAGGAGACTGAGCGGGAGATGCGGAGCAAATATCCATGCCTATTCGAGACTCCAGGTATGTTTCTAGACCCGTTCGAGGACAAACAGATGTTTAAGAGGGGGAGGATGTAATGACCTGACCAGTCGTTACGAGAGTTTTAGCCCCATTTACCCCATTTCTACTTCTTTTATGTTATTCAGCTATATTATGTTATATCGGGTTAGTTGGTTTGGGTCCGGAAGGAACTCGGAGTGAAATGAGACACTTAGTCTCATAATTGAAAAATTGAGTTAGAAAAGTGGACCGGATATGGACATATATGTAAACGATCTCAGATTCGAATTCTGATAATTCCAGCAGCTCCGTATGGTAATTTTTGGCTTAGGAGCGTGTCCGGAATATTATTTGGAGGTCCGTAGAAGAATTAGGCTTGAAATGCAGAAAGTTTAATTTTTGAGAAGTTTGACTGGGGGTTGATTTTTTGATATCGGGGTCGGAATCCGATTTTGAAAATTGGAATACGTCTGTTATGTCATTTATGACGTGTGTGCAAAATTTGAGGTCAATCGGACATGATTTGATAGGTTCCGGAGTAGTTTGTAGAAATTAGAAATTTCAAAGTTCATTAGGCTTGAATTGGGTGTATGGGTTTAGCGTTGCTTGAGGTGATTTGAGGGTTCGACTAAGTCCGTATGATATTTTAGGACTTGTTGGTATATTTGGTTGAGGATCCGAGGGGCTCGGGTGAGTTTCGGATGGTTAACGGGTTGGATTATGGACTTGGAACTCTGCTGGAATTTGTCTGATGCACCATCTGGTTTCCTTCATCGCGTTCGTGAGTGGAGCCTTGTGTTCGCGAAGAGGAACTGAGAGGCTGGAAATATTTGCTCTTCGCATTCGCGAAGAGAAGAATGCATTCGCGAAGGGTGGACTGGGTATGCATCGCGAATGCGAGAGGTGTTACGCGTTCGCAAAGAAGAGAGGAAGCAGCCGAGGACCCCAGGAAATTGGTCAACACTTTCACGTAGGGGGTGTCGCGTTCGCGTAGTGAGGGGGAAATGAAGCATCGTGTTCGCGATGGGTTGGACGTGTTCGCGTAGAAGGCATTGAGGTAGAGGCATTTTGTGCTTCGCGAACGCGAGGGTGATGTTGCGTTCGCGAAGGAAGAATTTGGACGGGAGCTATTTTGTGCTTCGTGAACGCGAGGCACTATCCACGTTCGCGAAGAAGAAAAGTCTGGGCAGTGAGATTAAGTTCTGAAAATGGGACTTTGTCCCATTTTCAGTTTTTGACGATTTGGAGCTCGGATTTGAGGCGATTTTGGGTGATTTGCAGAGGAAACAACGGGGTAAGTGTTCTTAAGTCAATATTGGTTAAATTCCCTGAATCCATGGTTGTTTTTATCATTTAATTGGTGAATTGAGTTGGAAAAATTTGAAAACCCTCTTAGTTTAAATTGAAGATTTGAGGGTTGAGTTGGGCTGGATTTTGATAAAATTGGTATGGTTAGACTCGTGGTTGAATGGGCTTCCGGATTTTATAACTTTTATCGAGTTCCGAGGCATGGGCCCCACAGGCGCTTTTTGAGCTAATTTTTGGATTTTTATGGAAAATCATTATTTTCTTATGGGATCAATTCTACTGAATTTTATTGACTGAAACGAATTATTTATGACCAGATTCGAGGCGCTTGGAGACCAATTCACGAGGAAAAGACATTGCAAAATAAGAATTTCATGGCTTGAGGTAAGTAACGATTGTAAATCTAGTCCTGAGGGTATGAAACACCGGATTTCGTATCATTTTACTACTTTGAGGTGACGCACATGCTAGGTGACGGGCGTGTGGGTGTGCACCGTTAGGGATTGCTGACTTGGTCCGTCCCGTAGCAACTGTAAAGTTGCATATTTTGTTGAAACTATATGATACTTATATATTTTAGAAAGAGTTTCTGTAAATTGGACTGAATGCCATGTTTGGGCCTTGCGCCAGTGCTGTTTGGACCCTTAGGGGCTGTTTCTTACTATCCTCTCATTGTTTTCGATTGAAAATATATACTCAGTCATGTTTATACTTGTTTACCGCATAACTCAGTTTTATGACTCTATTTTGATGCATATAAATATTTTGGGCCGAGTGCCCTATTTTACTGGAATGCCCGAGTGGCTTGAGAGGTTTATGACTGAGTGAGGCCGAGGACCTGATTTGTGAGGACGAGTGTGGATCGGGGCTGCCCGTCTGCAGCATACTTTATTATTATAGCACGTGAATTGTCCGTGCGGATTATAGCGCTTGGGCTAGAGGAGCCCCTCCGGAGTCTGTACACCCCCCAGTGAGCGCAGGTACCTACTGAGTGCGAGTGCCGAGTGCTGAGTGACTGGGAGGCATGAGTGATTGTGAGGTATGCCCGAGTGGAAAGAGTGATTGTGAGGCATGCCCGAGTGACCCGAATGACTGTGAGGTTTGCCCGAGGGTCTATTTGTGAGTGATGTTTTGCCCGAGGGGCTGTTTATGATTTTACCATTTTTGTTCATCTTTGCATTTTTTCTCTATCTGCAAACTGTTGAAAAATATCTTTAAATGGTTTCTACTAGAACTGGGTTAAACGAGATATTTTGATTCAAACCCTTATTTTAAAAAAAAAGCATGTGATATTTTACTGAGATTTCCCGATATAAATGTTATATGCTTTATTGCTCGTCATTACTGCTCAGTCTTTATTTATTGTTGTTACTTACTGAGTTGACGTACTCATGTTACTCCCTACACCTTGTGTGCAGATTCAGGTGTAGCTGGACACGGTAGCGGTTATTGATTGTTCTGGTTGTAGATTTTCTTGGAGATAGCAAGATAGCTGCTTGGCGATCGCAGCCCCTGCTCTTCTCTCTCTTATCTTCTTCTAGTTGTATTTAGTTATTTTTCAGGCTGAGTTAGCCTTGATATTGTAGACAGTTTGTAGTAGATGCTCATGACTAGTGACACCTCGATCTCGGGCTTTTCCTTCCGTACTTTTATTTTGATTTGCACTCCTTTACGAAGGTTTTTATGTTAAATAACATTGAAATTATTTTTGAAATGAAAACATCAGTTTGTTTTGGAAATGAGTCGGCTTGCCTAGTTCCACGATAGGCGCCATCACGACAGGGGTTGGTTTGGGTTGTGACACATATTGAGCGTAAATATCATTTAATTCCGGACATAACTCAGATAGGTGATTTAAGAGTGTTGAACATTGCGTCAGAGGACAATTTGGCAGACATGTTTAAAAAGAGCTTGTCAGAGAAGAGTTTTGACAAGCATGTAAAAGGAATGGGTGTTAGAGTTGTAGACGCTTGGTTTTGAGTCTAAGTGGGATATTGTTGGGATATACTATTAACCATGCAGTTTAGACATAGTATTGTGTTTGATTCCTTATGAAATAATTGCTTATTTAATTTATTAAATTCAATAAAGTACTATTTTAAATAGATCATTTGTTACATGTGTGTCCTTTAGTTATGTAGTAGACAATTTAGTGTATGGAGTCTTAGCTCATGCACAGAAGATTAAATTGTTGGAGCTCATAATTAATAAACTATGTTCACAATCGAAGATATTATTGGGCAAAATATCTTGATGATTGTAGTACAAGATTATAGTATAATTTGTCTTGATTATGAGAATGATTTTACTCCGACTTTTTGTGCTAAGTATACTTAGTGTATATTGAATGGACCAAGTAGAGAAAAGATATTTTTGTACTGAATATATATATAAAATATTTTCTCTAATTCATTAAATGAACTTATACTTCTAATTTGGATATAATTATTATGATCAATGTGATTTGTTTATTATTTTGACTTATCAAAATGTACAACTTTATTCAGAGTTAGTGTATGCCTACTAGATTGGACAATAACGAATAGCATTTGTGAAATAATAATTAGTTGATAGAATTCATGACTCAGTTTTGAGTTTGATGATACCCCTTTATGTAAGCTTATAAGTTTTCATGTGAAAACCCGGCCGATGGATTTTGTATCCGTCACATGAAATAGTTTAAGCGAAATTATAGAGGATTTAATTAGTTGATTAAATTAAATTGTGAGTGATTTAATTTAATTAACTCGTATTTGTGATCTTAACATGGGGAGTTAAAATAAGTGTTAGTGAATTTTTGAAATTTATATTGAGGAGTTCAAATGTAATTTTTTAGTGGAATAAACTGCAATTAATTATAGTAGAAATTAATTCATCCAAATTTTCGAATAATGCTATAATTGGTAGCCTCTTACTATTTATGTGGTCCCTGCTATACCTAGTAAAAACCTAGACTGACTTGGGTAAAAGAAGAGACTTGGGAGAAAAGTCATCCTGTAGAGTTAGAGTAGGATTCTGCTTTCACAAGCAGAATGCTACATGTTTTTGGAGCCCTCTTTGGCTGAAAAGCGAGTATACATAAGGAAGACATTTTTCACCCAATAACTTACTTTTCAGAGTTGTATTGTTCTTGTCCACTCAAAGCAAATTCATCCAAGGTCTTACTAGGACCATAGCAAAAGACTGCAGCCCTCGATTATTGCTCTAAGGACCTGTGCAACGTTTTCAAGAGGTTAGTGGTTCCTAATCTCGTAATTATATTATTATCTAGCTTACATGTATGTGATGCCTGACTTGTATGTTTACTTCCGCTGCGCATGTTCTTAACACTTGTATTAGTAAAATTCATTTGCAATATAAGTCTTTCTGGAATCTGGTATTGTTTTGACATTCAAAATCACGATTACACAATTTATAAATTTAAAATGTTATCACACGTTAATGACTTGAAATTCCCAACGTCGCACTGAACACCCATGATAGAAAACAAGCATTTTGACCGCTACAAATATGAGACATGCATATAACAAAATGAGTTTAATGACTTTAATTATCCACTATTTGTAAAGATGGTTGGGAAGTCGAGGCTCCGTCATCACGTCGAGTGCGACTTTGGGGTGTGTAGTTAGCCCATAAATCTCTTCCATGCTAATGTCTTCTGGACTCATACCATCAGGCAATCTCCAGCTGAATCCATGCAACAAGTTAGCTAAAGTTGCCCTAATTATACGAATCCCAAGACTGTATCCCGGGCACTTTCTCCGGCCCGCACCAAACGGCAAGAGCGCAAAATGGTGTCCTGTGACATCTATATTCTTCCCTTCAAACCTCTCCGGAATGAATTGTTCTGGTGACTCCCAATGCTGTGAATTTCTTCCAATACTCCAAGTGTTCACCATTAAAATTGTACCTTTAGGTATGTCATAGCCTGCTACGTGACAATCCTCCAAGGCAATGCGCGGCGGAAGCATGGTGCTTACTGGGTGAAGCCTTAATGTTTCCTTGATGATTGACTCAATGTAAGGGAGTTGAGTGTAATCATTTTCTTGAACCCATCTGTCGTGTGAAATGACAAGGTCTAGCTCTTGTTGTGCTTTCTTCATAATCTTTGGTTGTCTAAGAAGTTCATAAAAAGCCCATTCAACTGTTGTTGCTGAGGTGTCTGTGCCGCCAGCCAATAAGTCCTATCATCAATTTATAAACCAAAACATCAAAGAAAGCCAATATATTTTTTAATTGAGTACTCTAAGCACAAGATTTGACGAGAGATTTAATAAAACCTATATATCGTATGAGAATCACATGTTGATGAAAAAAGAACATTGTTTCCAATTTCCTTAGAATTAAGAGAAGCGTCACAAAAATGGTTCTTATTTTTTTTTTAGTTGAGCTTAAATCAATTTTGATGATTAACAAATAATGGTTGACAAACTAGGTCCCTTGAAGATATTTATTATTCTAATAAATATGGTTGATAACTTTTCAAAACAGATATTTAATCACCGGGTCACTAGATGCACGCATAAGGAGTTGCAAACCGATTCCTAATGCAAGTAAAATTCTTTGGAGGATTTAATTCGTGAGCTAGAAGTATTGCACCAGCTGGAAGATTTCGTGGTCAAGGATTCAATTAATTGATACACTTGCATAAAAGTAAAAGGTATGCGAAGTTGGAGATATTTACACAAACCAAGTCCTATTACGATTGTTTACCTTAACCGATTTCTTCTAGGCTTTGGTGCAAAATTTGGAGAAATATTGGCCCCAATTTCATGCCTATATAAGGTATCATGTTGCGGCTATTGATGATAACGCTATTTTCGCACAAATAGTACAAATCAATCTTGGCAAATAGTAATTATAGCAAGAAGGTACTTTTAAGGATTCAAGCTACACAACTAAAGAATCTGGTCTGATAATGAAGTTGACTAACTAGTTCTTTAGTTGTCGAGTCTTGATTCATTGTTCTTTAATTGTAATCTATTTTGCTTTTGAGAAGTTTTACCGTAGGTGAATAATTTTTGAGATTTTGAGGTTCTTCCTATGCTAGAGTTCACAGTAGTTAATTATGGGTCAAGGTATTAGAGTTTATTATCCCTTTGATTACTGAGTTGTAACCTTATTATTACTCTTACTTTTTAGTGAAGCTTGAGGAAAATTCTACACGGTCATGATTTTTACTTCCTAGAGCAAGGAGGTTTTCCATGTAAAGTTACATGCGTTCATTATATTTTGCACTATACTTTCTGTTTGATTTTAAAATATACAAATTCAAAAACACGGTTCTTCAGTAGGCAAAAATCGTGCAAGACACAATTCACCTCCCCCGTCTTATATCTAGGTGCTATTTAAATTAACAGTTAATATCAGATCAAATTCTTTCAACGTAAGGATAACACCTTAAAAGAACCCAAGATGGATGCTCCCCCAGGCGTTTAATAAGGGCCAAGATAACCAATAATTAAGGGAAGTATAATAGATGGTGAAAATCAAGGATGTAGAACTTCTTGATGGATGAAGATTTAGATTTATAGGATGTAGTTGTGGATGGACCCATTGCTACCATGAACAAGAATAACAAGGGAGAAGTAACTACTCCTAAGTCTAGGAAGGAATACAATGAAGAGGACAAGAAATCTGTTGAGAAAAATGTCAAAGCTAAAAAGATCTTGATCTGCAGGATTGGTCCAGGTCGAGTACAGCCGAATCTCAGCATATACGAATGCAACGTAGATCTGGGATGCGTTGCATACTCTCGCTTCATACTGATCACTATTGAGTTAAGCTCTCTTGAAAAACTCATCCCTACAAATAAACTAGTAAATAAAATTCTGAGTATTCAGCCTCCGTCTTAGGAAAGCAAGGTGAATGCAATTTCAAAAGCAAGAGATCTGCAGAGGTTCTCCATTGGCGATTTTATTGAAAAATTAAAAACCTATGAGTTGAAGAAATATCATGATCATGAGTTGGCTGAACCTTGAAAAGATAAGATTCTGCTCTCAAGACCACAAAAAAGCTAGAAATTGATGACGGTCATATGGCACAACTGACTCGTAAATTTCAATGTGCTATTTGAAAGAATCATCGTTTTCAGAAAAAGGGTAGCAACTCCAAATCAAACGCACCAAAGATGAACAACTTCGACGTGTGCTACAAGTATGACAGTCTTGATCACTTTATTAGGAAATGTCCAATGTAGGAGACCGAGTGGGAGAAGAATAATCATGATAAAATAAAAGTGCAAAAGAAGGACCAGGTCCCTGAGCGTAAGATTCAAAAGAGAGCAACAAATAAGATTGTGCAAAAAGCTTTAGCTGCAAAGAAGAATATCTCTAATGGTGAATCTGATGATGAAAAAGAAAAGAAAGATCTATCCTTGATGGCAGGGATGACTCGAACTCATATGATGAAAATATCCTTGCATTAATGGCAAATTCTGACTCCGAAGTGGAAGAAGTACAATCTGAGGTAAATTTTCTGAAGATTAAAGAAAGAAATCATATATACTCAAAGAAAAAACTTACTTCCTTATCTCAGCGTATAATTGATGCATATCATACTACATGTGATGCAAAAGAAACAATTGATGAATGCATGTGCCTCTCTTAAACTTGATTACAAAGGATTAGATATAAATAAGGAAAACCTAAAAAAGAGTGTTAAAGAATTAACGAACCATGTTCTTGCATTAGATCATGAGAAGTTAATTTTGAAAGGGGGGAAAATATTCTTGAGGCACCTACTAAGGGAAAAGGCATAGTTTGTAATATTCATAAGAATCTTGAGAATAAACTGAATAAGGGAAAGAATGATTTTCAGCTGAATGTAAGAGAAGTAGGTTATTCCAAGAGAATCTAAATAACTCTAAGTATGATTTAGACAGAACACTTCGGTGGACCATATCCGGAGATGTTAACATCATTGCATGAAGACCACAATGATAATCGTTAAGGAATATGGTATATAAAAACTAAGACTCTCTATAATCCCAGAAGTAAGTATGTGTCTGTTCTTGATAATAAGCTTTGCACACACTGTGGTAGTAATTCTCATTTTAAAAAATCATATAAGGCTAAGTTTCAAGCAATTTATAAGAATGTTAAGTTTGTTGAGATAAGGAAAATCGTTAAATCTGGTTCTTCATTAAAAAATGCTAGATTGCGAGGTTGGGCTAAGAGGAATGAGATTCATCCTTTTATTCAAAGAAAGAGATCCAAGCCTATATGGGTCCCTAAATCTAACCTCTAAATTATTTTATAGGTTAAGCTAGGTGAGAGAAAGCAACAAAGTGTGGTACTTAGATAATGCTTGTTGGACGCATGACTCGTAAAAGAAAAATATTTCTCTCACTAATAGCCTTTCGTGGAGGAAGAGTGGCATTTGAAAATAATAAGAATGGTGACAATGTAGGTATAGGTATGATTGATAAGTCCCACTTTCATGAAATTGAAAATGTATAGTATTTTAATTGCTTGAAACACAATCTGCTAAGTGTGTCACAAATGTTATAAGAAACAAGGTAGAATTCACCTCTAGTGCATGTACTGTCACAAATCTTAAATCTGTAGGACTGGCTCTTAAAGAAAAAGGCACAAAAATATTTATGAAGTTGATATTATTTTCTTTCTAGGAAGTGAACTAACGTGTCTTAGTGCTCTAGATGATGATTCTTTGTTGTGGCATAAGCGTCTATGACATGCATGTTTTTCACTACTGAACAAATTAGTTCTGAAAGACCTAGTTCTTGAGCTATAAAAATCTAGGTTCGAGGAATATAAAGTATGTGATGCATGTGCTAAAGGTAAACATGTGAAATCCACCTTCAAATCAAATAAATTAGAAAGTACTTTTCGATCCTTGAAACTATTGCGTATGGATTTATGTGTCCAATAAGGGTTGCATAAAAAATGTATGTGTTTGTGATTATTGATGACCATTCCAGGTTCATGTGGACCTTATTTCTTGCTTTTAAAAAGAAAACATATGATGTGTTTGTTGCATTTATAAAGAAACTGCAAAGAAAATTAGATAGTTAATTGGATAGCATTACCGAATTTGGGAAATAATAGATTTCCAGAATTTTGTGTGAATCATGGCATATATCATAATTGTTCTTCACCTAGGACCTCAAGCAAAATAGTTTTGTTGAATGAAAACAAATATAACTCTAGAGGATATAGCAAGAACCATGTTAATTACTAATAGTCTACTGATGTTTGACAAAAATTCTATATTTTAAAACATTACGTGCCTTACATTTTAAGTATTTAATGATAAATTGTATTACGTTTGAGTCTAATTAAGTTGGTTTTATGTGTAGGAACATTGGATTGCAAAGTAGGAAGAAAGTTGCACAAAATAGCATTGAAGACGTAGAAGGAGAGAACAAAAGGAAGTTCGGTGCAAGGCACACAAGCGTTGGCGCCATACACGGCGCCCCACATCACCCAAGGCGTGACTTATCATGCATCATGGCACCTTGTGAGCTCAAGACGGCCCTTCGCACAGCACCTAGTGAGGAAAAAGTTGCAGCCCAAGCGCTGCTCGCACCAGCACCCCCCGAGTCCGAGAAGAATTTATTTCATTATTGATTATTGACTAAGACATTCTGACCCTCACCTATAAATACCCCATAAACTCGTTTAGGACGGGGTTGGACATATTTTGGAGGCACAAAGGGCTTCGGAAAACACTTGGAGCACGGTATTGTCACCTTCTTCATTCCTTTCTCTCGTACTTATAGTTTTATAAGACTCAAAACACTTTTGTGATTATTGATAGGATTATTAGTGGATAAAACGCCTTGTGTTTTAGGGTTATGGGCAGATCTTATTTGTTTATGGTTAACGATTGTTGAGATTTCTTGATCATATTGATTATTTTACTCAATGTTATTTTTAATTATTTTACTGCATAGCTAACGGTAGAATAATATCTATGAATTTATAGTTAAACTCCAAAGTAAAAACTATAGATTGAATATAAGATTGAATAGAGTAAGATCTTGACGTCGGGCATCGAAAAATAGATTCGCGGTTAGGATAGACATATGCTAACTACCTTACTCGATTATTATTGCAAGGAGTACACCTGCATTCTAGCTAATTCTAATACTATAGAAATATAGTATTATGTTGGCTTGAATAGGTGAGCAAGGCGTCGAAAAAACCTTGCAAGCAAAATA